AAGTAGAATTTTTACTTGGAATGGAAAGAAAACTAAAAGGCATAAATAAGTAAACAACTTACCTTGAAAGCTTTAGAGAGAAAAGTCAAGGTAAATTGGTGACAAAGAGAGCACTTGTCAAACTTGAATGAGAAAGAAAGAAAGGGCTAAGTCGATGTGACAATAACTTGGTGAGATTGAGATCTGAGTCTGAAATGATGTTAAAGACTAAAAAGAAAAGGTGGAATCAAAGGTTGAAAGTGAAAGGCTGTATGAATTATAGAGATTAAAGAATATGAGAAGAGTTAGAACTTTGAAGAGTTGGAGTCTTAGAGAGTATTAGGGTAAGTAAGAATAGGAAAGGTTGGGAGGTGAGTCATGAGTGAAGTGAGATTATGTTTGCTTCTAGAAGATAATGAGCTAAGAGAATCAATTAGCTAATTAGGAAACTTAGTCAATTATTAGAGGTTTGGGTGGAATTGGGAATTGAAAAACAAAATCAATAAATAATAAATTAAAATTTTTTAAATTTTTATATAGGTAAATGAATCAAACCCGTTAACTCAATGGGTCAATTCATTATTGACCTGTGATCCGTTGGGTTCTCTTAACAAGTATGGGTCGATGAGTCACGGGTTATAAATATTTGATCCGAATCCGTTTTAAATGGACGGATAATGGGTGAGTTAGTGTGTTGGGTAAAAAATTACCTGGTGTATCAATATATAATGCGTTGTCCGTTGTACAAAAAATGAAAAAGGGAGGAATAATTCTAAGTGGTAAAGTAGGTATAAGTATGATCAAAAGCAGTTGAGAAAAGAAGAGCACAAAATTTAAAAATCATCTTAATCAAGCGAATCGTAATTAAGTCCATAATTCTCTCTGGCTAGTATATTATCTTTGATCAAACCAGGGCGCGGAGGTTTCGCTGATTTGCTGAAAACCACACATGACATCAACTAACTTTGAAAAGGTCGGTTGAAAATAACACTGAGGTAGTAGGTATTACGAAGAAAGTTTAGGTTCGAAAAACATTAATGTGACACGGTTTGCGCAATCTCAGGGGATCTCCTCGCCACTTTTGAAGCAAAAAAGAAACATATCTTGGAAAAAAGAACACAATCTTCCAAAAGGAAGTCATCAGACAATTTAGCAAATCACATGAAAATGCATCCTAACCTGACCGAACACGCCACTTTTTGAAGCGAAAAAGAAACATATCTTGGGAAAAGGAACACAATCTTCCAAAAGGAAGTCATTAGACAATTTAGTAAATCACATAAAAATACCAAACACCTTTCTGCTGCAGTAAGCCGCTGTTTTCTGGACACAATCTGCTGGCCTAACTTTTCAGCATAGGTCGTTTATAGTAAATCTCACGGGCAGAAACAGCAAAGGCATTTTCGTGTGAACTTGAAGTGGTGCCTCGTGTTCGTAGAGACCATAACATGATCCCTAAAAAAGAATCCAACTTTTGAAAATGGTTCATCTGTGTTCATATAAAGTCCCACACCAAAACATACTTTTTATGTACACCCCTGCGTCTAAAAAGCCGTAAAATTTTTCCAGTATCCAGAATTCCAGACATTTCTGTTGTATGTTTGATTTCCTTTGGAAAATTTGTCGAGAATTGTTTTGCTTTCTGCGCTGAATGCAGATGGAACCCATCTTAAGTTACAACATTGACCAACTTGGCAGCAGCTGTTTTCGTCTTTATTTTCAAAAAAATAAAAAGTAAAAAGAGAGGAAATTAAAATATTAATCCAGAGTCTAATAAAATTAAGACTGAAATTATTCAAATATGACAGGATTAGATCAGAGCCAATTCGGGTTAACT